CATTTCTTCGATCGTTTCGAGGAGCGTTTCGACCTAAACCGTGGTTCCTTCGATCGATATCTGGTTGATGCCTTTTCGTGTTCGATCTCGATTCCCTGTTCGTATCCTTCGGGGACTTGGCCACAAACCTGTTAGGATGAACTGAACCCGAGGTGGCTCCTAATTGGTCGTCCTCAACTCTGATTTTTGACTGGTAACGGTTTTGCACATGTGACCACGTCACAGCTGGATACTCGATCAAGTTCTGCTTTAGTTGTCGAGAAGCAATCGAGCTTCGCTTGTTCAAACCCTGCATGAAGGCCTGTACTGTCCAGTCGACGGAAACGGGCGACAACTCCATTCTTTCCATCTAAAACATGGACACGAACTCCCTTAACATCTCGTCATCCCTTTGTTTATTTTGAAGACATCCGATTTTCTCGTGGATACCTTTATGGCCCCGTTGTAGGCTTTAACGAAGACATTTGCTAACATAGCGAATGAATCAATAGAGCTAGGAGCTAAGTTGTGATACTAAATCATTGCTCCTTTTGAGAGTGTTTCCCCAAACTTTTTCAACAACAGTAACTCGATTTCATCATCATTCAAGTCATTTCCTTTGATCCTGCAAGTGTACGAAGTAATATGTTCGTTAGGGTCGGTTGTCCCATTATATTTGGGTATATCAGGCATGCGAAATTTCTTAGGAATGGGCATCGGGGCTGCGCTCTGAGGGAATGGTTTTTGTAAGAATTTTTTGACATCTAGACCTTTCAAAACTCGAGGTGCCCCCTGTATCTGTCCTACACGTGAGTTATAAGTCTCCACCTTCTTATCGTTATCCTCAATTTTCTTTTCTTGGGACTCGATCCTTTTAGTGAGCTCTTCAAGCATTTTCATAATGGTGGGGTCCATCCCCGGGTTGTTTCCATTTGGCCCTTCTGGCGTTGGTTCAGCGCGTCGATAGCTTACATGTTCAGCTACACTCGGGGGGGGGTCTTATTTTGACTTTGGAGTTGAGCGATGGCGATTTGCTGAGCCTGCAACATCTCAAATATCACTTGGAGGCTGACTGCCCCATCTCCTACTCCTGGTGTTCCTTGGTCCCCTGGTCGAGCGTCCTTGCGTACACTCCTTTCGGGGTCCATGCCTAGTAGAGCCTTCAAAATGGGCTTGGCCCGTGAGGCCAGCCCAACCCAGCTCGCTACTTGGGTAGGGTTGGGCTAGGATTTTTTGAGCCCATTTAAAACTGAGGCTTATAAGCCCGGCCCAAGTAGAGATAAAGCCTTTCATCTATCTTCGGGGTGTGAAGCAAAGGCGGGCTCGACAGATACCACTTTAATTCTTCTAAGGCTTGTTGGCATTCCGGGGTCCATGAAAAATCCTTCTTCTTTTTCAGCAAGGAAAAGAAACGGTGACTTCGATCTGATGACCTCGAAATAAACCGGCCCAAAGCAGCTATTCAACCCGTTAACCTTTGCATGACTTTCACGCTATCCACGACCTTGATATTTTCGATGGCCTTGATTTTATCGGGGTTAATAGCGATACCTCGATTTGACACCATGAAGCCAAGACATTTGCCCAAACCGATTCCAAAGGCACATTTCTCCGGGTTAAGCTTCATGTTGTATTTCCTCAAGATTTCAAACGTTTCCTGCAAATGAGCCAAATGGTCCTCTGCGCGTAGGGACTTAACCAACATATCATCAATATAAACTTCCATTGTTTTACCTATCTGTTCTTTGAACATTTTGTTAACTAAGCGTTGGTACGTTGCTCCTGCATTTTAAGCCCGAAGGGCATAACATTGTAACAATAAGTTCCAAATTTAGTAATAAATGAAGTTTTTCCTAGTCTTCCGGGTTCATCTGAATTTGATTGTAACTGTAATAGGCATTGAGAAAAGTTAGGGTCTCGTGGCCAGCCGTGGCATCGATCATTCGGTCGATGTTCGGCAATGGGAAAGAATCTTTCGGGCATGCTTTGTTCAAGTCCTTATAGTCTACACACATCCTAAGCTTGTTTCCCTTTTTATGAACTACTACTACGTTGGCTAACCACTTGGGGTACTTTACCTCCCGAATGGATCCTATTTTAAGAAGTTTGGTTACCTCGTCTTTTATGAAGGCATGTTTTACCTCGGACTGAGGTCTCCTTTTTTGCTTTAACGGTTTGAACCTGGGATCGATGCTCAGCCGATATGTGGTGATTTCCGGCGGAATCCCTGTCATATATAAATGGGACCAAGAAAAGCAATCCATATTATCAATAAGAACTGCCCTCATGCTGTGTACCCACGGTCTCCCGAGGAGCGCGTTATACCTCATGTTACCTTCGATGATATGGAACTTTGTATCTTGTATGGTCCCGACTATGTTTACCGGCAAGATGATTTCTCCCTTTGCTGTTTCACTTGCCATGTTGAAGCCATTCAGGACCCGAGATGTAGGTAATATCTGATCTCGTAGGCCGAGTTGTTCCACGACCCTCGATCTGATTATGTTCGCCAAGCTACCTGGATCCACTAAAACACGTTTAACTTGAATTTTATTCAAAAGGATAGAGATTACTAGGGCGTCGTTATGAGGATGCGATATGCCTTCCACTTCCTCGTCATAGAATGATAAGACGTACTCGGGCACATAGCTCTGAGTCCATTTTTTTCTGGTGATAGATACTTTGGTACGCTTGAACACAGGTCGTTGAGGGACATTGACTTCGCCAATGATTATGTGGATCACATGATGTGGTTCTTCTTGCTCATTTTTCCTTGTGTCTCTCTCCCTGAAGTGATTCTTAGCCCGATCATTTAGAAATTCTCGAAGGTGTCCCTCGTTGAACAGCCAAGCCACCTCTTCCTTAGCTGGCGACAATCTTCTGTCCTATGGCCATGTGTACCATGATACTTGCACATCAAGTTCGGGTTTCTTTGAGNCTGTTTCACTTGCCATGTTGCAGCCATTCAGGACCCGAGATGTAGGTAATATCTGATCTCGTAGGCCGAGTTGTTCCACGACCCTCGATCTGATTATGTTCGCCGAGCTACCTGGATCCACTAAAACACGTTTAACTTGAATTTTATTTAAAAGGATAAAGATTATTAGGGCGTCGTTATGAGGATGAGATATGCCTTCCACTTCCTCGTCATAGAATGATAAGACGTACTCGGGCACATAGCTCTGAGTCCATTTTTTCTGGTGATAGATACTTTGGTACGCTTGAACACAGGTCGTTGAGGGACATTGACTTCGCCAATGATTATGTGGATCACATGATGTGGTTCTTCTTGCTCATTTTTCCTTGTGTCTCTCTCCCTGAAGTGATTCTTAGCCCGATCATTTAGAAATTCTCGAAGGTGACCCTCGTTGAACAGCCAAGCCACCTCTTCCTTAGCTGGCGGCAATCTTCTGTCCTATGGCCATGTGTACCATGATACTTGCACATCAAGTTCGGGTTTCTTTGAGAAGGATCGGTTTGCATAGGCCTGAGCCACTTGGTGTCTTTGATTTTTCCAATAGCCGACACAATTCCTTATGCATCCACGTTAAAGTTGTACTCCGATAACCAAGGAGCCTCTGCGGGATTGGTATGCTTATTGAATCCGTTTCCATTTACGAGTCCTCGAGAACTTTGACACCGATCATTTCTTCGATCGTTTCGAGGAGCGTTTCGACCTAAACCGTGGTTCCTTCGATCGATATCTGGTTGATGCCTTTTCGTGTTCGATCTCGATTCCCTGTTCGTATCCTTCGGGGACTTGGCCACAAACCTGTTAGGATGAACTGAACCCGAGGTGGCTCCTAATTGGTCGTCCTCAACTCTGATTTTTGACTGGTAACGGTTTTGCACATGTGACCACGTCACAGCTGGATACTCGATCAAGTTCTGCTTTAGTTGTCGAGAAGCAATCGAGCTTCGCTTGTTCAAACCCTGCATGAAGGCCTGTACTGCCCATGAAAAAATCTTGACAAGAAAAAGTGTAAAGATAACGTGTGTAACAAGAATCAATAAAGAAATAGTCACTATTATCTTTAGCTCCACGGTGGGCGCCAAACTGTTTACCTCAAAAAATACGAGTAAAAATCAAATTTGATTTGTGATTTTAAAGATACGTGATTTAATTGAATACCAATTAATAATCAAGAAATATGACGTAAAAAAGAAAGAGAAAGGTGAATCAAACCAGTGTTACTTAACAGCAGTGACCTCGTGCATAGGGACCTCGAGGTAGGCTTGGTAAAATAAGAACAAGTATAAAAGCAAAGTAAGAACAATAGAGCTAAAGGATAATGCTGATGAAAAGCAGGCGAAAAAGGTAGAGTATATTCTATTCTCAGTGCACAAATGATGTTACAAATGATTGGGGTCCCCTTTATATAATAGGGAAACCCTAAATAAGGAATATTTCTATTTACAGTAGGGAATATTCTTGATACAGCTGTCTAACCGCCTAGTACAGAATTGTACAATCCTATTCCGGGATTTACGCCATGACTTTGGGGACGTGACAGGAATCTCGCTTGTTTTGGTACAAATCCATAACGGTACTATTTCGGAGTCAGACATACTCGGGCCTGGTATTCCTCGTACTCATATCTACGGACATTGCGCTTTGTCTTCGAGCTCGATTTTGGTCCATTGGTCTCGAATCTCGACCTCACCCGAACTCGGGCCCATGACGGACCCTCGAGCCTATAAATCGGAGGCATATGATTTTGACAGTATACACTTTTTATTATTTGGAGGGAGGGAGATGTGTAAATATGTGAGCTCTAGCTAATAAAGCCATTACAGGTTTCATCAAAATTAAATTGTTTATTTCTACCAATTTATTGTTTAAAATCCTTCAGCAGATTATCCACTTAGCTCAGATCCTCCATTTTCAACTTGCAAGCTTGAATGAAATGTATATAAAAGAAAGGATTTTTCTTCCTCACCAGAAAGTTAAGAACATATAGAATGTATATCAAAAACCTTAAAACCTGAGTGCACCGCTTCCAATGTTATGAGCAAGAAAGGGAATCGAACCATCATAAAAATTTCGATTAATCTTCACATCTCAGTTTGAAAGATGTAAGTACAATACTGACAAACCTGAAAGTAAATTACAGGAACATACCAAATAAGAGTCAAAGGAAAAGATCTTCTAGCCCGATCTGGAGGCTGTATAGTAACTGTGGATGCATGGTTTTCCATATCTTCATGTTGCATTCATTGAATTTCCTTGGTTGACTTGGCAGCAGATTAGGTGCACCAGTTTACTTACATGCGTGTTAGAGGTGTTGCATCACCAAAATGAGAAGGGATTTCCTTAGGCCTCTTTCATTTAGTTAAAGCCAAACGTTTTAGCTTAGGAAAGCATCCACGGAAACAAACCAAAGTGTGATGATGAGATTGTTAGATTTTAACTATTTAAGTTCAGGAAAGTCTGAATTTTTTACTTTCCAGTGATCCCCTTCAAAGGCTTTGAGGAATAACTTTAGGATCTCCAAGTTAGGCGGTTCTACAATGGTCGATATTTGGGTCCAAGATAGACGAAACTTTGACAAAGTCAATCCGTTAGTTTCTAGAGGAAATTGAACTCGTAAGTAAGTTTAGCTGGATAGCTGTAGGAAACCAGCTTGAGGGATTCAAGGTGACTTAGAAACTCTAATCTGGGAAGAAGGCCACACCTACCCATTCGATTGGATGGATTATCAGAATTGGAAAAAAACCAGACTATACACAGACATGCGACAAGTCTTATGCGATGTTATACCAAAAAAGGTCGATCAAATCAGTAGACCATGACCACCACTTCATGCCTTACGAATACTTTTCACTGGGGCTTAGATGTAGCTGGCCTACGTTAGCAACAACCTTATCCAGTATGCCAAGAGTGGACGTTTTTGACATATGCTATTATGACTGGCAGGGCTACAAAATGAAGCTGGCATCATGCTCCGAGAGATGTATTGCACTAAGAAAGAACAACAGCCTCGGTTATTCTATGCCAACACCTTGACCAGGTATATGAGGCCTTTCAGGGTCACTCTTCTTCGGAAGAACCCTGAAATGCCTCATATACCTGGTCAAGTGTTGGCAGCGAATAACCAAGGCTAATTTTCTTTCTTAGCTTGGAGCATGATGCTAACCACATTTATAGCTCTGCCAGTCATAATACCATACGTCAAAAACGCCCGCTCTCCCCTAACCCTCGTATTGTGAGCATTCCGAATAAGTGGTTGCTAACGAAGGCCAACTACATGTGTGCCTCCTTGGAAAAGTATTTATAAGGCATGGAGTAGTGGTCCTGGTTTGCTGATTTGATCCACCTTGCTTTGGTATTCCCATCGTATAAGACTCGTCGCAAGTCTGTATACTCTAGGCTCCTTTTGCAGTTCGTAGTCCATCCAGTCCAATCTGGAAATCCTAGAAAGGCATTAAGATCCTCCGATGCAACCGAGAGGTCAACACCCCAAACTACTGGCACTCTGAATTGAGGGCGCCAGTTGGCATACAATTCCTGCACCATAGTCAGATTGCCTGGCTGGCATCCTCACACAAAACTCTCCATTGCCTATCATCCTTCAGATTTTTCAACACCCCAGGCGCCCTCCACAAAGGACGTACCTCTTTGCAGCTAACTTCTTAAAGGATTTCTTGGCGGCACCATCCACAAATGTAAGAGCAGGAGCTGCTGGTTTCTGTCTCTTGGCCCAGAGGCTGCTGGCCCGCTTTCTGTTCAGGAGTAAGTTTCATCTTGCCTTTGTCTCCGGCAGAAGCTCAGGATGTGGAAGGCTTAGCCTGAGGGGCTTTCGCTTTCGGAGCCTTAGCTTTTGGAGCCATGAGTAGGTAACTGCAAAAGAAACAACTTCAGATAGTTGCCCCAGCTGTACGAATACAATAGCAGTCAGGTCTTGACTTTCCCATTAGGTTCAGTTATCAGGCACCATAGTTAACCAATGACATCAATATGAAGTATGGAAGAGTGCACAATTCAGCTATCTACTTTGCCTGCGACTAGTTCCGGGCAACTTCAACTTCAGGTTGTGCAATCAATTCCAAATAGTTAGCTTTTTCCAGAAAACTACCATACACGCAACCCTTTGCAATGATTCATAAAACCCACAGAAAGTTGGTTCATACACATGAAAATATCAGGTATCATACTACTCTTTCAAGTCTCACCACAAAGTTATGCAACACAACTGCTCAAAACTAATTATAAAAGGCCAGTAACCAACCAGAAGGGAGCATACTTGAGGAAAATTATGGAGAAAACACTAGCATACATGGAACTAAAAGCTTAGATCACGCACTTAAGCACATATGACAGTAATTGATTTTCGAGTCCCAAACTACTCTAGTAATTACACAGAAAAGCACAAGATCAAGCACATAAGAGCACTAACAACCATAAATCAGCTGGAGTAAAACTCTGTCAAGAGGTACTCAGACTTCCCTCTTCTAGTCAAACACAGCTCTATCATATATTAACAAATTCATTTGCACAAACTTAAGGATAGAAAACATCATTGCATGGACAGTGGAGCCATAGCACATGATTATTTACACATGCAAGTTAAGATAAATAAGATTGAGGAGTATTCAACCTTCTTCCTACCCAATCAATTTTTAACAGTATCAAGCAGTGAAATACCTAAAACAGCAAAAGAAACACTTAATGGCAGGTAATATAACTTAACCGTAACACAAACAACCACAAGCTTCCTACTTGATTCAACAAGTGCCACCCCACACTTATGTAATTAAGCATATCAAACATGTGTGTGTGTGTGTACCAAGGAAATGGTAGTCAGGTATGAAGGACACATTCACAACACTATTTTCAAGGTAGGAGCTCAAATGAGAGCGACACTGGTTCAAATCGCAATCTAAGATCCAGCACCAACATAAAATGTTCTGAATTATTGTCTCAGAAGAATAAGCAGAGAGCAAAGAAGCACTTAGATTGCTAGGACAGACGTAACAAGCAGTCAACTCTAGAAGCACAAACACGAGACACTAACATATGACTAAGCAAGGTACCATGCGCAGGCCCCACCAATACTCTTACACTGCACACAAGTTCAATCAAAACTTATGAGTAGGCTACTCAGACTTCACCAGACAAGCCAAAGGTCACTGTGGCAATCAATCAAACATGTCGCAGGCATGGCACTTCATTCAGAACATTCCAGCAAAAAAATGGACTGCCCTCCCAATATCAATGGGAATTATAGTTAATCATAACACCAGCACCCAACTTCAACAATTTTCAAGGATCAAGCATGAATTTAGCCCTTTAGGGCACTAACAAGGCAAAAGTTGTCATGTACTAGCGCGAAATGGAATGGGGTGGTGAACGAGGGAATTGGTTTGGAAGAGGAACTTCTAGTGCCTGTGTCAAAGCAGACTCCATAACAACATAAAATCAGAGAAGTTCAGTTGCATCCTAAGGGCTAAACTATCATTGACAAAAAGAGCCCTCGGCAGAATTTGGCCTACCTGCGCCAGGTCAATGATAGTTTAGCCAGCTAGATTTAACTGCAACCAAAGAGTCAAACCCAGAACTAGGTTAGCTCAAAGGTACCACAGTGAGCTCCACGGTCAGAAAATAATCAATGCATAACTTACAGCATTTGGTTGGTCTTATACTCTTATTGAACTCCACATTCATATTATCTGCATAAATTGTGCCAGAATTTGTTATGCAGTATCAAATGTGAAATAAGAATATCTATATTTGCAATACATGGATAGACTCATAGAAGTAACTAAAAACCAAAATATCCTTATTTCGATTTTTGGGCCTAAAGGTAAGATTTGAAATCTAAAATTTTCCATGCTTGTGAGCTTACCATTGAGTCTAGCCCGTAGAAAAGGTGTTTTACTTTTTCTGCTTTGGGCTTTTACGATCCACTACTTTTTAAAGTATATATAGGAGGTAGGGGTGTTAGCAAAAAGGGAAACTACCAGCTATGTACATTTATAAATAACATATTACAAAAATTAGTCAATTCATAAAATATTACTAATATTAGCCAAATATTATTAATATTAACCAATTAGCTATTTGTAGCAAAAAAGGGTTATATTTTTGCTTTCTATTGAGTGGGTATTATTAGAATAGATTGGGTACATCTTAAGGAGCTTGAATCTGAGTTTTGGGATGATTTGGTGAAGTTTTGAGGTGGTTTGAATTTAAAATTCAAAGTCAAAACTGAACATGAAAAAAATGATATATATCACACTGTGTATCATTTATGTATCACATATGTATCATATTTGTATCAATTGTGTATCACATGTATACATATGTGTGAGATACATGCGTGATACATGTTTGATACATGTGTCGTAGAATAATTTTTTTGATCTCGATTTAATTACGAATTTTGATACAAAACCAGTCAAATCACCTCTAATCTTCCTCAAATTTTGTATATTGACTTATCTATATGTTTTCAATGAATTTCAATTATACCAATTGAAAAAGTTTCTTTTTTGCTTAGATTTTTGGAGTATTTTTTTTTTATATTTCATCACTTGATTTGCTACCTCATCCATGAAATTTCCTTTCCGTCTTGCACCTAATATTGCTAATCACGCTTAAAAATATGGAAGGAGATTTTTGCATGTGATTCTTTAAGAGAAAGAACCTTATTTATTTGGTTTTTCAATTTTTATATGTATTTGGCTAGTTTTGGTAAGTCTATGATTAATGGCTAGAGGTTGGTAAGTTGAGACTTATTTGGGACATTTGTGTAAGTTTTCCTAGTAAAAATGACACCAGGTAGCTACTCTAAAGGATTGTTATTTAGAAATTAGCCAATGCGTCCTGAATTTCAGTTTTGCAGTTTCATTTTCAGGACAAAGATGTCTTGAATTGTCCAGAAGTTAAAATTTTTAGTTTAAAATTTCAAGACAAAATAAGTATTGATTAATCTTTAAATAGCATCCCTGAGAATGACAATCTCTAAACGGGCGGATTGGACTGATTTTGAGCGGGAATGGGTTGTGACAATAAATGGACGGGTCAATGAGTTGTCCAAAAGTTACTTGGGCTAGGTCAAAATGCGCTAAAATTTGGGTCATAATTCAACCCTCCCAAATCTTATCAAGCTTTAATTAATGTGTGTTATTTTCTTATGAACTATTTACTAAGACTTTTTTTTCTTTTTCTAATGGTCATATATAACATATCAAATTAAAACGTATTATTTTAAAGATTTTTAATAAAGTTACTCATAGTTCAATTTGGACTAAAAATCAATCCAATCTTAGATGGGCTGAGATGGGCTCGGCCAAGGTGGACGAGTTCAACAAAGAAAAACTACCAACTATGTCTATTTATAAGTGCCTTATCACAAAAATTGGTCAATTCATTAAATATTACTAATATTAGCCAAAAGTTACCAATATTAGCCAATTAGCTATTTGTAGCCAAAACAAGGTCAATATTTTGCTTTCTTTTGAGTGTGTATTATTAGAATAGATTGGGTACATCTCAAGGAGTTTGAATCTCAATTTTGGAATAATTTGGTGGAGTTTTGAGGTGGTTTGAATTAAAAATTCAAAGTAGAAGATGAAACATGAAAAAAAAATGATATGTGTATCATTTGTATATCAAACATGTATCGCATGTATATCCATGTATATCTGTGTGTATGATATATGTTTGATATATGTGCCGCAGAAGAATTTTTGAACTTGATTTTAACTACGGGTTTTGATACCAAATCAGTCTAAATCACATCCAATCTTCCTCAAAATTTATAGATGAACTCATTTATATATTTTCAATGAATTTCAACCATACCCATTGAAAAAAGTTCTTTTTTGCTTCGAGTTTTAGCATTTTGTGTATATATGTTTTGTATTTCATCACCTTGTTTGCTACCTTGTCCATAAAATTTTCTTTCCGTCTTGCATCTAGTGTTGATGATCATGCTTAAAAATATGGAAGGAGACCGTTTGATTCTTGGAGAGAAAGAACCTTATTTATTTGGGTTTTCAATTTTTGTATGTGTCTGGCTAGTTTTGGTAAAACTATGATTAATGGCTAGAGGTTGGTAAGTTCGAACTTATTTGAAAAATTTATGTAAGAAATCCTTCAACAAATGGGCAGGTCGATGATCGAGTCTAACCTTAACGGGTTGCGAGTTAAATGAGCTTGAGTTCAAATTGCCACCCAAAATTTACTTACACCGGATATTTGTACCAAATTGCACTAGTTGACTATGATTAGTGATAAATTTGAGGTTAGAATGTGAATAATTAATTAGAATCGAGTAATAATAGTTTACGTGTTGCATGTGTTTATTGGGAATGCTAAGCGTGGATAAATTTATTCTGTTAAGGAATACCAGCCTAGATTTCCAGTCATACCTCAGTGTACATGACTCTTCAGTCAAGAGTTATTTAAAATTATCCAAGCTGTTAGCGAATAAAGAGAAAAGGAGAAATTTTACTCTGGTAGAAAATGGAAATACTCCCTACCAAGAGGCAATTTAAGCATGGAAACTAGCTAACAGATGTATCAATAATGATATTTCAACAACTTATAAATTATGAATAATTTAATATTCATGTTACTAGTGATGAAATAGAGAAAGCACCAATGATCAATTTTGAGGAAAGACTAATAGATTTTGCATAGATTCTAAAAAGGTAAGTGGTTGGATTGGCATTTGGCAGCTTCATGATATATAATGTTGTATGTTGAAGTAACTTTAACATGAATTCCCCAGCAGGGAGCTGTCTTTGCATTAAGCAACATAATAATTATGTATCTTCCCCTTTTTGTGTACTCCCTAAAGTCTTTCTAACCTTACTACTAGATCTTGATAGGGGATGAGATATACAACTCATATATAGGTTTCTGCTCAATTGAAAACTAGTCACCTTCATTTATTTCTTTCTTTCTTTTTAAATTCAAATTTAACACTAATTAAATTACAAAAAAAAAAAAAAAAAAAAAAAAAAAAAAAAAACTAGCTTGGTGCACGAAGCATATACACAGGGTCCGAGAAAAGGGCCACACCCCAAAAGAGTATGATGTAGGCAATCTACCCTAGTGCAAAACATCATTGCTGATTTAATGATTCGAACTCATGATCTATAGGTCATGTAGAGACAGCTTTATCATTGTTCCAAGGTTTCGCTTTAGTTAAATTGGTTATTGATATTATAAACATATATCGAGACGTGAAATAAATGACTATCTGACCCAAAATATCAAAACAAAGGGTAGGTAAAAACCCATATAAACTCCTCTCCGTATGCCAATATATATGGTGAATGCGAGACACTATATATATTAAATCAACATCAACCTCGAGGTTGTAATTCTACCTTACATCACTTAAGTGTAGAGTTCAAAACTTCAAATCCTATAAAAAAATCCCCTTATTCTTTTTTCTTTTTCTTTTCAACACTTTAGTTGATCAATTGAGGCGAAAGTAGCTTAATGAGCCATTTCATTCACTTGATGAATTTCTTTTTGTACGTTTGTAAACTTTATCATTTTCAGTATTGTCGGTCTATAATATGGCAGATAATTAAAAAGAACACGATGCCTATTGAATAATGTTGTTCTATTTTCCTTTGGGTATTTGATCAAAGTTCTATATGAAAAGTAGAAAAGTAAAATAAGCTAATTATAAATAATAGGATACTCTTAATGGTGTGAGGTATTTGGAAAAAAATTTATGCGGGTTTAACCCAAAGTAGACAATATTATAACATATTTAAAAGTATCTTGGGCTCATTTTAGCCTAATAATAGTTTGGCGGGATGAATATGGAGATGGTTAAGGCATAGGGCCAGTATAGTGCCTTTTGCTACGCATACACAACATTTGGAGTAATTACTCGGATTATGTAGGTGACACACAGTTAATCTCTAAATTAGCTCATGAATGATGATATGAAACTTAGTTTAACAGAGAGATTGTTGGGTCTATGTGAACAAAGTCCCGCATAAAAAGAATAAAATAAACTACTTATAAAAATAAGTTGAATACTCTTAGTAATGTAAGACCTTTTGAAAAAAGTTACGCGGGCTTTAATAATATCACATTATGCTAATAGTATCTTTGAACTGTTTTACCCCAACATTTCCTACGTACAACAAGCTTGGAATAACAATAGTTCGGTAAGGTGCATTGATCTGAACTAGGCGCGTCCATCTCAAAAGAAAGAAATAATGAATAACACACAATTATGACAGCAGAGGGTTACTCAAGTGGTAAGTTAATTTCCTCCGCCTCCCACCTGAAGATTGTGAATTCGAGTTATTAAAGGAGCAAAGTGGAAAGCTCCGGAAAAAGTAAAAAAAACTTTCAAATTAAAATTAATAAAAAGTGCATCAACCAAACTAACAAAATATATAAATTAAGGAAGATAGAAGATGCATCACAAATATCATCCCAATAAACAAATTCAAGTGGCCCAACTCAAAACATTACAATAAATTTTAAAAAAAATCAAATCCACCATTAAACATTTTCCAAAAAAGAGAGACCAAAAGAGAAAATATAGGAAAAGCAAGTAGTTGACGAATCGCTTTCAAGAGAAAGAGAAAGAAAAAAAGAAAGAGTGACGTGAAACATAGAAGAGAAGCACATGGGATCAGTTTTTAAGCTGAACGCACCAGAACCCCCCTTATATGCTGGCATGTGGACGAGAAGATTCAGCTATTTTTTTAAAATATACTTTTTTGTATTTTCCAAATTTTTAATTATATCATATAGATATTAAAAAATAATAAAAGTTTCCAAGTATGAGCATAGCAGAAACTAAGAACATGGATCCACCCCATTTCCAATGGGATTTTTGAAATTCCAACTAATAAAGTCATGTGATGCTGTAATGCTGCCTTCTCTTGTCTTTGCCTATACTCTCTTTAAATTAGCTACATAAATAAATAACAAAAATAAATAAAGTTTGTACATGAAATGGGCCCCCACACCCTCACATCACATCCTCATTCTCCATCCCCATCATTTATTTCAGATAGTAGTTGCAGTACATAGGGATGCTAAGGCGCCAACATGAAATATTGTTGTGACGTGGTAAATACTTCTTAATTGTAATTAAAAGTTTTATATTCAAGTTTTAAGTATGATGTCGCTGTCAATGTGAACTTTTCTTGGCGAATTTAAATTTAATCGTGTCATATTATGTATTATCAGACACCAAAAAGGTAAGAAATGCTAAGGCATAGACATTAGTTCGATAAGAGGTGTTATCAGATAGCGGAATATAAATACGTTCTTTATATATGTGTATGTAAATTATTTTTATTTTTAAATTACGAACATATGTAAAAGGAAGACAATAATAAAAAAAAATATCAATTCTAAATAAGAAGTGACTCTTAAAATTACTATAATCCAAAGTCTAAATTCACTTTATAAATTAAATTGTGACAATAAACGGATATCATTTGCGCAAAATTTTGTGTACGTACTGAATGCAACTAATTTGCAGTTACTATGAGACTCCCATTGATGAATAAAAAGCAGCCAATGATTTCCTCATAATAAAGATACGTTTGACATGCAAATATAAATATATTTTTTGTTAGTAAAAGTAAATACCACAAAAGCAAAAGGAATCCCATGCATGTAGCTCCCCACGACTCTTCTATTTATAAAAAAGAAGCGTACAAAAAATATAAAAGAATGAGTTATAGATATGGGCCATTTCTTGTTTCCGATGGAATAAAATAGAGTTATTTGTATATGGTAAAAAAGAATTAGTGTAAAGTCTATTAAAGATAATCGGATGTATTACTAAGAGAGAAAAGTACCACAAGAAAAATAAATATTCTATTTATTAAATACTCCTATTTGAGATATGGAAATTACACCTGAATTCAAATAGATGTTACAATCAGTTTGATAGACTGATGGAAATGGCCGAATCGTTAAATCACCAACTAATTTCTGGCAGCATGTGTTTGTGGCCAATTTTGGCACAGATTAAAGGAAGGGACACCCTTTGCTGTATTCGAATATTATTCAATTTTCTATGGGTCCTAATGTTCCATATCTTTTATATCTTCTAGGTTAGAGCATGTAAATACCTTATAATGGAAAAATAATATTTCAAATTGGGAGAACAGAGTTGCAGGCTAGTGGTTACAACTTAATCACATAACTTAATCACAATTTCACCTTGCTGCAAGTGTATCTTATTTGAGCGTTTCACTAAAAAAATACAGGAATATAATTAGCTATGAAATTCGTTGCATGTAGCGAACAGAATACATTGATAATCCATCGCTAATTAGGATTAGCAATAAATTTTTGTTGTTTAGCGACAGAAGTGGTCTATTGCTAATTCATTTTTTTTTAACTTGTAGTAGATCCCCTGGCCCCCACCTTTCTCTCAAAATGTAAAAAAGGAAATATATTCCAAATTAAACAACGACAATTTTAAGAAAATGGAAATTTAAGGTAGAGATAGAATAGAAATGTGAAAGGTGAAGAATTTTCAAAGAAGGAGAATGGATTTTATATTCAAAAAAGAAAAATAGGTTGAGGTGTGAAAACTTTAGGCAAAAGAAAAAAGTTTGGGGTGATGATTTAGACCTACAACCTCCACTCCTTAGTTTCAATGGCAAATTGTACACATCAATTAACCACTTTAAGTAATTGTAAGGTCATAAATAATTTACTTGTGCTTACACTATTGTGTAACCTAGCTCATGGGCATGCATGCATGGAACCCTAGTTTGTTCTTGAGCATTACAAGACATAGAATCTTTAGTCCTAATCTTGCTATTTATGGTTATGACAATTCTTCCATCCACATGACCAATATGGTCAGAATTTCTATGATCATGAATGTTCTATTTATGTACAATCAGCAATGTAAAAATTTATATCCAATGTAAAACATGCAATTAATTAGTACTTACCATTGAATGTTTGAAACGGAAACTGTTTCCGTGTGACCTATAGGTCACGGGTTTGATCCGTGGAAATCAGAGGCATATTTAGGATTTCTTCTATATATAGGTAAACTACTAAAAAAAGGAGAAAAAAATATATTAGTTGAGAACTGATCCATCTTCTTCTAGGTAAATAACTTAATCTTCAACCAGGTGCACCATTCAACCTTCTTGGAGTATGGATGTCAACAGTTAATATTATACCAATTTTAAAAAATATGTATATATAAAATATCTAATTTACGAAGAAACCATGAGTTCATGTGCCCCATAATTTCTCCTATAAATCTGCCTCTGGTGGAAGCAGCCACTAATGCATACATTAGAGTAGGTTGTCTATATCACATCCCTTAGAATGCGGTTTTTCTCCGGACTCTGTAAATGCGAAATAATTTGGGCATCAAAATGCCCTTTTCACTATTGAATGTTGAACATTCCAGTATATTGCATATGAGGTATGTTGTACCAGCGAATGTTATTTTATGTGAATCGATCTTTCTTGTTCTTGATTCTAAGTATTGGATCAAATAGCTAAGGTTTAGTTCACATGTCATTATATGTGCTTGCGACGTTGTGTAAGTATTATTTGAGTATAGTGAATTTTAGCTTATGTATACCTATAAAGACTAGGAGAACCATGAAATTTGTGCAAATCCCACCAAGAATTGCATTAAGAAAACATAAACTCTTAGGTGGCATTTGGTTCAAAATTTGAAAACAAGCTTCAAAAAAAATCAGTTTTTCTTTTTTGTGCAACAATTATTTCTTCAACCAAGTGCCAAGAAGAGAAATTTCTCTAGAGAAGTTATTCTATCTTGATATTTTTTTGAAAATAAAAATTGAAAAAAAAAAACTTTTTAAACTTGTTAACCAAAGGCGCGGTTGTCGTTTATTTATAAATTTAAGTTATATACACTGACAGTATACAGATTTCAAATTTTAACATGTGATAACAAATTAATTAAAAGATATACTTGTAATTTATCTAATAAGTGGTATGATTTTGTGAATATTCTTTATTTTGTAATTGCAAAGAAACTAAACTCAATACATGTTTATTTTATTGTGACTTGGACAATTGATAGAGAAATAAAAAGGGAAAGAAGGAAGGAGGGAGGAAAGCAGGGGGAGGAAAGGACATGTCTCAACTCTATAGATAAAGCCATTTCAAAATTTTGGAGGGATTTTGGCACAAGGAGAAGTGAAGATAAAGATGGACACTTTGGAAATTGGAATTGGAGGGGCACAAAACCACACAAAAAAAAATGAACAACTTTGGTAGGGTTATTATTTGAAAATAAGAAAAGAGGGTAGGGCTTTTTATTGCTTGTTTGTGTACTTGTGTTTTCTCAAGAATTCTCTTCTTATATTCTTCTTTGATGATTTCCTACCTTTCCTTTTTTATTTTCATATCTCAAATTCAAAAATATCATAGCCTACTAATTCCCATTGGCTAAATTAATTTATAAAATTTGCTTGAATTTTGATGGGAGAGAAAGGGATAATGGAGGGATAGGCCATAGTCCTAATGCACGATAGCTGTTAGTAGGTTAGGTGGCAAACCCTGCCCCCTCTCTAGGACCCATCCCAGATTCCTCCCTCTTCTCTTCTTTATAAACAAACACCCCCCTCCCCCCTCCCCCCCAAATAAAAAACACCCCAAGAAAATAAAATTGAAGAGGAAAAAAAAGTCATATAATAACAGTGTAAAAAAGTTTCATACTGTCAATGTGTCCCATTTTTATAGGACGGTAACTATCGGTAATTATCTTTCCGGTGACATGACGGTATAAAAAGTATAGATGAGTATATAAAATTTCATATAAAATGAACTTAAGAAAATAAGTAGGACTGAAATATATAGCAAACTCATTTCTTTCTATTTCCTTGAGAAATTTCTTTTGACAATAGTAAAGCAACATAAACTACTTATAATAATACGTGCAAGACTCTTTTCTTGAAGTTCTGCATATTAGTAATGAGTTTAAGAATTACTATGGCTAATATTCTTTTTCCTCACCCACTATGCTTCTAAAGCCATATACTAATATGTATCCCATTTTCTCTCCTTTAGCAAAAAATCAGTTGCCCTCCAAATTTAAATTCAGCAAGGACAACTGTCATTACAGAAAGATACATACTGCCCACTTTTGTTACTTAACAGGCCAAATAAATTAAAAAAATAATAAGGATCAATGAGAAAAAATAACTTGATCGTGCTGAAAGTTAACTTGAGTAATTACGTGGTAAGGAAAAAGCAATATCATCAATATTCTTTATAAAGGTCTCTGTTGTTTTGATATCTTTTGGACGTGATAATAAAGTGTTATTATAAAGAACATATATTATAACATAATATAAAGAATTAGTTCTAAACCGTTATAGTGAAATATTATTATAAAGAATAACTGTTATAGGGAGATCTTACTGTATATTAAAGAAACATCCAACACTTTCTCTACCATGCATACATACAGTAAACCAAAACTAGATAAAAATATAGGAAAAAGGTTCTCTTGAAGCTGATAAGGTATATAAGCCATCCCTTCATCATAAGAATAGAATGCATCTCCTCCTTAACCAACACTCCCTTATTTATTTTTTCTAAACCCCTCTCTCTCTCTCCCTCACACTAAAGGAGATATACATATATATACTCCTACTAATATTTGATACACTTAACATTTTCACCATTTCTTGAACAGAAATTTGATCTCTCTTTTGCTCCTCTCAAAGTATGAATCATAACCAAACATATTTGGACTTGTGGCAAAAGTATTGTAGGTTATGACTTGCACTAATGAGATGGATTTTTTCCCAGCTAATTTCATGCTACAGACTTCTCATGAAGATGAACATCAACCTTCAACTTCTCTCACTCCCATTCTTCCCTCATGTTCACCTCAAGATTTCCATGGTTTAATTTCTTTTCTTTTCTCTCTTTCTTACATTATTTTCAACTTAATTTCCTTCTTGTTGGTGTTTGGACATATACTTATTATTTGTAAATCAATGTTTGTTTTAAAATTTTGTCTATTATTTTCAACTTCAACTTGAAATAGAGAATTCGAAGTTGAAAATGGTTTGAGTAATAGTATATATTTTAAGGAGTAATAGTATATATTTTAAGTGAAATAATGATTTTCACTCACAAAACTTTAGTTTTATTTTCAAGTGAAATTCATGTTAAATACAATTTTAACTTCAAATACCTGTGTTTCAAACTTCAACCAAACATATTGTCTAAGCTGAGGTCTATCGAAAACAGCTTCTATAGTTTTATGTCCTTTCAGGGTGGGGTAAGGTTGCGTACATTCTATCCTCCTCAGACCTGACTTGTAAAAATACACTGAGTTATTGTTGTTGTAACCAAAAATATTGTCTAATATTTTCCTGGTGCAGGTATTGCTTCATTTCTAGGAAAAAGATCCATGTCATTTTCTGGGATGGAGGCAATTAATAATAATAATTGTGAGGAAAATCATAATGGAGAGGAGGATTTATCAGATGATGGTTCACAAGCAGGGGAAAAGAAAAGAAGACTTAATATGGAACAAGTAAAAACTCTTGAGAAGAATTTTGAGTTAGGAAACAAACTTGAACCTGAAAGGAAAATGCAATTGGCTAGAGCTCTAGGCTTACAACCAAGACAAATTGCAATTTGGTTCCAAAATAGAAGAGCAAGATGGAAAACAAAGCAATTGGAGAAAGATTATGAAATCCTTAAAAGACAATTTGAAGCTATTAAAGCTGAAAATGATGCTCTCCAATCTCAGAACCAAAAACTTCATGCAGAGGTATGACTCCAAAAAATAATCAAATGGCACTAATTATTTAATTATAAGTTTTTCTAGTTACGTAGTAAATAAAATAATATTGCACTTTAGTGATGTCTCTTTCTTTTTTTGGTTGTTAATAATTGAAGAAGAATATGCTATTTTGGTGAAATAGTAGACCTTACTTCTCTGCTAGTTGTATTTTCAAAACTATGATATATATTTGGTGCATGATTTTCAGCAAAGGATCTTTCTTTCCCATGTTTCTCTTTAGATTGATTGACTTGTAATGATGACTTGAAAGTGTAGCAGAAAAGAGGGAACAAATGTTGATAAATTATTAGTCTACTAGCTACTACTAGGACTATAGTAGTACCTCCGATCACAAATATCATTATTATTAACCCTTTTTCGTTCTAATCAATTAATCTACTAGTAGTACAATTATTAGGTCAATCTATTAGCTAAAATACTTTTTGGAAGAATTTAAGTTATATACATTAATTATAACATAAAAATAAAAATTACACTTCTAAGGTAGTTCAACCTACTATAGCAGATTAATTATCATTTTTATCGTGTTATAAATTAATTAATGTGTTTATCATAGACATTAATATGTAATTGCTTGAGTCGAGGGTCTTTCGAAAACAATTTCTCTACTTTTTCGGGGTAAGAGTAAGGTCTGTGTACACACTACCCTCTATTGACTCTACTAGTAGAATTTTATTGGGCCGTTGTTGTTGTTGTTTCTTTATAGTAGTAATTGATTTGAAGTGTGTATATTTTGATTACAATTTTAGTGCCTAGAGTTCAAGTTTTTTCTGAGTGACCTTTAAGTCACGGGTTCGAAGCGTGAAATCTGCCATTAATACTTGCATGATGCCATCAAGGCAGGCTGCGCACATGACAATATCACAATCCCTTAGGGTGCGTCCCTCTCGGGACCCTGCATGAACACGGAATACTTTGTGCACCGGGATGTCCTTTAATATTAGTGCTTGGAATTTGAACTCTTTCTTTGTATTGTGTGCAGGTAATGGCACTAAAGAATAGGGATCAACCAACAGAATCAATCAATTTGAACAAGGAAACAGAAGGATCATGCAGTAATAGAAGTGAAAACAGCTCAGAAATCAAGCTAGATATTTCAAGAACACCAGCCATTGACAGCCCATTGTCAACTCATCATCCAATTACAAGCAGACCCTTTTTTCCACCCTCAATTAGACCTAATAATAATGGGGTGGCTCAACTTTTCAACATGAACCCTAATACAATTTCAAGACCAGATCTGAAATTAATGGACCAAAATAGTACTGTCAAAGAAGAAAGCAGCTTATCCAACATGTTTTGTGGAATTGATGATCAAACAGCTTTTTGGCCATGGCTTGAGCAACAACATTTTAATTAACTTTTTAATGGACCAAAAGTTTAGTTTTCCAAAAGTTGCTGAGTTGAAAGAGAATATTTTACTACATTTCTTTTGAGTTCATGATCAGTAAAAAGGTTATTTATTTCGGGTGCATATTAGAAATTATTGTATAAAGTAACCAAGTACATTTCAAGTACTTAAGGAAGAGCCTTTTGCAGATCTTTATGGAAAATAATAATAAAACATGTCTCTTTAATTTTTCCTTTATTTTACATTACCCTTTAATATCTATTGTCTGATTATTAATTATTATCAACAGAAAAATTAAACATTCATCGGTTTTCAAATTAGCTTCTACTATTATCTTCTTAATTACCATTTCATGTCTTTCACCTATTTTCTTGCTTTTGAGTCATGATTCTTATACTATTGCCCAAGGGGCAAAGCTAGAAGGTGAGGTATGTGTTCGGTCGCGAACTCAATAGTTTTAGTTTAAATATATCTAGCTAAATTAGCTCGCAAATACTTTTAATATGGTGTGATATCATTCGCTTTAGGTTAGCCTGCACGATTTTTCTTTTCAAAATGGCTATCACCATTAAGAGATCTCTACACTTTATATATAGACTCTCAATCTTTCCCGTAACCAATGTGAGAATTTGTTCGCATGCCTAACAAGAAATTAACAAAATATGTACAAATATTACATACATAACATTATTACTTACACGTAATATCATTATACTAGAATTTAGAACCTATAAAGTTTAAATTCCTGCCTATAATTGCACATAAATGATCAAAGAATTTCATCATTGTGTCTCATATTTTGTGCTAAAATTGACCAATGAGCAAAAAGGGTGAAGAAATTGTAGCAGAAGTTAGTGGAACAGTAGATGAAAATTGAAAAGAGAGAAATGGAATCAAGCACACATTCCAAGGGAGGAAAGAAGACAAACAGATGGAAGAGTAGAAGAAAACAAGGAGAGTTGGAAATGGTCATTCTCGTGAAGGGGACGTTAGCAAACTTGTGCTGACAATTGATAATGAAAGGGGTATGGTATTTATCACAAATAAATATTGTATATAATTTACCGGAAAAGAAAAAAGACAGAGAAGAAAGGTGAAAAGCTTAAATCGATTGATCGTGGCCGGAATTATAATAAAAAATTTGTAATTCAAAGATTAATAAATACCAAATTATTTAATACATATGCTATTTTGCCTAATATTTTGTTCCTTGCACTAAAAATGGAATATATGGTTTTATAATATAAAAGTTTAAATTTTACTCTTATTTTTTTAAATAAATAACAATTTAGAAAAGAAAAAAAAAGGTTATTGGGTGATTTAGAATTTTAGGTGTTATATCCCCGTCAAGCACATCTTATTCGTATAAGTTATCTGGTTTTATATTTGATATTAATATCAAAATTGTCGTGAAATTATATCATAATTGCTTACACCGAAATGAAATATCCATCAAACAATATAAAGTTATACCGAGTTTACTATCAAAATTATTTTTCTAAATCTAGTAACCAAAGGATCTTGTGTTTTGTGTGTACCCATCATTGGTTTTGGGATACTTCTTTTTCCTTTTGTATTCTTAGTGTGAGTTAGTGGTAAATAATCAATTGTGAAAATTCGTGAAGACAAAATAATATTAACTGATTTTTTCTTGCTCAAATTTTGGTGGTCAAAGTTATCTGATATTTATGCTGATGATTAGTAGGTACTCAACAAAATAGGTGAAATGCGCACAAATCCAGACACCACCATCATCTAAAAGAAAAGATACTTCTTTTCCTATATTTATTTTATGGAATCAGTCACTCATACTTGCATCAGGATAGAATATCTTCATTATAGCTCTTGGAATGCAATCTTTCTCCGAATCCTATATAAATATAAAATGTTTTGTCTGCTGAGGTGCCTTTTATTTTTAATATATATACTTATTTTTCCTTTCATTTCCTTTTGCTTCCAATATAGAGTTTAATGCGTTATCTTTATAGTCCTTTTAGCTTTGATGGATAGATATAAGTCAAGAAAGAAAGGATTCATGTGACCTACTGTCACCCACTCCCTGGCATCCAACACAAGCCTCTTTTTTTTTTTTGTCCAATTTTTATTTTTTCAAATTTATTGTAAAAACTATGAGTCACTTAGACCTGTATTTATTCCATACTTGACCCTACATTTTGATCACATGTACATCTCTTTTTTCCCCATCATTCTCTCTCTCTCTCTCTCTTTCAATATCACTTTCACCTGCTTCAATATTTGAGTGTTGACTCCAATTCTGTTTATATCATGTGTTTGGTAATACATTTGTTCGAAAAAAATAAAGATAAATCATATATATATATATATATATATATATATATATATATATATATATATATATATATATATATATATATATATATATATATATATATATATATATAGGCCTTTTTCCAAAGACTTATAATTTCTTAGATCTAAATCTCCGGTCCATTATTTTTATTTAGAAAAGAGTTACAATTTATATAAAGAGAGATATATTTACTCATGCAATTATGAACATATTTGCTTTTTCTTATTTTTCACTCGTTTTTTGGTACCAGCTTAGAGCGTCCGCTAATTTGCGTTGCATAAGATCCATTAAAAACGAAAGTTTTTTGTATCAAAAATTTTTCCATTCTCAGAACATGAACACATTACTCAAACTCTTAAAACAAGTTTGCGGAACAAAAACCAATCGGTTATATTGTACTGAATATTTACATTATTAAAGGATTTTAATTTGTTAAATTTCCTATAATTATCTTTTAAATAATTTGGTAATGGTAAAATATTTCAGACAATCTATATATATAAATTAAACTCATTCAATAACTGAGAAGAAGAAGCATAAGCTCGAATGGTCCCAGGGTAGATTTCCAAAATTCTAGGGGATCTACGTTTAAAAAGTCTATGATTAGCTATGGCCATGCCCCATTATTTAGTTTTCACAAAATGTGCTTTAACCACTTTCCAGAAGCAACCTCGAAGTTAGATCCAAATGTCTGTCCCATCAGTTTTTATTTGCAAATAATTGTAGACTGTAGCTTAATTAACTTTTTCTTTCTGACAGAGACAGTATTTAAGACTAATAAACAAACCTTTACCACCGATCATTTTGTGACATGAATAAGATTTATTTATTCTTATTCAGATGTTTTCGATTTGAGTTTTGAGAATAAAAAAAAATCCTACAGAATAGCGTTTATCTTTCATGAGTTTTGCGCGAAATTCGTAGTAGTCGAGATTCTAATTCGAGTACATGATGTGGATGGAAAAAAAATACTGTAAAACAAGCCGTTGACACAAGGCAAGCATTTAATTAATTGCAATAATTCCATGTTATGTGGCTAGCACATGTTACCTTATAATAATTATAATCCTCCATATCCACAACAAGGCTAGAATTCTGATATTATTCCAATATTAATATAATCCAACTTCAGAATCCACCATGAAGCCACTTAATAGGCGCTTAACCAAATATTCTGAAAATTTTCCACTTACATTTCTTTAAGATTACGAAATAAATATTGCAATATACAGAACTGTAATAAAATGCCAAAATTTCCAACCATGATATGCCAGAGATAATATATCATTTCTTCACATGATCCCATAAAAAGAATTCACGAATTACTAACTTGATCCTCCTCTAACTTTCTTCTAATTACAAAAAAAAATTGAAGAAGATAATCCACTAGGGTTTTTCCATGCAGATTTATCACATGCTTGCTTATCGAATCTAGTGTTCACGATATTGATAGAAACAACTATACAAAATTTATCTAAACAGTTAGATCCCGTCCAATCAATTTATATATAATATTACTGTAAGGTCTGTGATTCTTGATTTGATTTTTCTACCTTTTCCTACCTTATTTTATTTTATTTTATTATTACTCTTCTTTCCTGTCCTTAGTACAGTCACCTGTGCAGAGAAGTTCTTTATTTTTAGATTATTCTTTTTAACCCATCAAGTTTTGTGTCAAATCGAGCTTTTATATGGCATTACTATATTACACTATATACAAATATAGAGTCCGGAACCGAAATGTGGTTCTTTTGGACTTAAAACACTTTTTTGAGTGTAAAACAAAATTATATTTCTATATAAAATACGGTTATTAACCGCGTTTTATATAGAACGCGGTAACAAATCACGAATTATATAGTAGCTGACAAGACCTCTATATAAAGCGTGGTACATTACCGCATTTTATATAAAACGCGGCAATGAGCCGCGTTTTGTATACATAAATAATAGATCCCTTCCCCTTCACGTTTATGCCCATAATCTTCCCACTTCCCCCTTAAAACAATACAGCGGTCCCCCCATTAACGTCCCAAAAAGCTCGTGTGGACCCCACCCATTCTGTAAAAGTAGATATCGTTGGTCCCATATCCTAGCCAAGCCTTCTATTGCTGTGGGTTGCTTGTTTCAGAGTCAAATTTTCAAATCTTCAACTTTCCGAAAAAACATAAATCGAGGTATTCCGATTTAGTTTATATCCAAACTCGTATAAATAATGCATATTAGTTGTTTTGAATGTGTTGTATGTTGTTTTGTGTTTTTTTTTTTGCGATTAAATTGGTATGTTATTTTTATCCGGACTAAGATATTAATGTTGTAAAAAAATATTAAAAAATTGTGAAATCGTTATTATTTGTTAAAAAAATGTTAGTAAATTACTATTACTGTTTTATATGTATTTTTGTGAATGTTTTATGATTACAATGTATTTGTTGTGTTTTATCTGGTTTAAATTATTTATTTGCTTAAAGACTAGTAATATAGTGACTTTTAGGGTAGTAAAATATAATGCCTTTTAACGTAGTAAAATGTAGTGCCTTTTAGCGTAGTTTTCTTGTAGTTTACTGGAGTGATTCCTTAACTTTTGGTGGCTAATTTCATTATATTCCTGGCTATTGGGAGTGGACCGAAGATATCCTTAGTAGGAACCATCGAGCATTGCGAGCGACCAATATTTACGATGTTGTCTATGCCTCATTGTTTACTTATGATCATTCTACAAGTATCATGCAAGCCTTTATTGAGGCTTGGTGTCCTCTTACAAACACGTTGCTTACCTCAGTTGGAGAATTATCCATATCCCTTTGGGACTTGTGCACTATTGGGGGTCTACCTTTAATCGGGTCTCCTTATGAAGAGGTTATTCCAAATACTCGAGAACTTACAAGTGCTTACGACAA